AGGCCCCCCAGAGGCCCCAACAGGCCCCGAGGAGGCTCCCGAGAGGCACCCCAATTGAGCCCCAATAAGCAAAAATCCCAGATTTCTTATTGGGAAACTGATATTTTTGGCGTGTTTGCCTTTGGGGCTTCCACTGCGTCCAAGACGGCCCGAGAGGCACCCAAGACGGTCGAGGATACCCCCAAGAGGGATCCAAGACGGCCCAAGACGGGCCCAAGACGGCCCACGAGACGTCTAAAGCGGTCAACAACGCCCCAAGTCGGCGCCCAAGACGGGGACGAGGAACCGAAAATGCGAGCCATTTGGCCCAAGAGGCCCCCAGGAGACCCCAGGAGGCTCCAAGAAGCGCCCAAGAAGCCCCAAGAGGTCCCCAAGAGACCCGAAAAAACACAAAAAGAGTCCCCGAACACGCCCCAAGGGGCACCCCAATAGAGCCCCAATACGCAAACATCGTAGATTTCCTATGGGAAAACTGATGTTTTTGGCGTGTTCACCTTTTGGGCCTCCACTGCGTCCAAGACGGCCCAAGAGGCACCCAAGCCGGTTGAGGATGCCCCCAAGAGGTCTCCAAGACGGCCCACGAGGGGGCCAAGACGGCCCACGAGGGGCCCCAACTACCCAAGAACGCCCCAAGGCGGCGCCCAAGACGGGAACGAGGAACCAGAAATTCGCGTCCTTTGGCCCAAGAGACCCCCAAAGAGGCTCCAAGAAGCGCCCACTCCCCAAGAGGCCCCCATGAGACCCGAAAAAACACCCAAAGAGGCCCCGAAGACGCTCCAAGAGGCACCCCAATAGAGCCGCTCCTGGCCCCGGGTGCCACACCTCCCCGTGACATCTCGGGAACGCTCCCGGTACCGCTCCCCCGGGCGTTCCGGGGGGCCTCCACAGCGCTCCAGGAGGGCCCGAGACGCCTCCCAGGAGCCCCCAGAATGCGAAAGGATGGTCCAAAACGCTCCCAAGCAGCCCAAGTCAGCCTTCCGATGGCTCTCGAGGCTCCCAGGTAACCTCCAAGAGACCCCAAGAGAGGTCCGAGAGGCGTCCCGGGACAGCCCGAAGAGGCCAAAATCGTAGATTTTCATGTGTTGTTTTGTCAATGTTTTTGGCTTCTCGCGTTTTCGAGCTTCCAACGGTCCAAGAGCGCCGACGAGGCCCCCAAGACCGCCCCAAGACCACCCAAGAGACCCTCAGGACGGCCCCAAGACGGGCCAAGAAGGCTCCAAGACTGCCGAAGAGGCGCCCAGGCCAGCCCCAGACCACCCCAGAACAGGCCCAAGATGGGGCCAAGAGCGGGAGCAGGAGGCTTCCAGAGACCTCCGAAAGGCCTCAGGGACCACCCAGAGGCCCCAAACAAACCCCGGATCCCTGAGAGGCCCCAGAAAGACCCCGACGAGGCTCCAAGAACAGCCCAAGAGAGCTGCGAGAGCCGTCCCAGAGAGCCCAAAGAGGGTAAAATCGTTGATGTCCCATGGTTTTTCTAATGTTTTTCGCCTTCTCACGTTTTCCCGCTTCCAACCCTCGAAGATCGAGGATTTTGAAAAAATAGGGAATTCCCAGAATCGCCCCTTTTTTTCAAAGTGGGACTCCTACTCGGGGGTCCTTCACATCCCCTGACATCTGGCCGGTACCGCGCCTCCGGGCTTCCCGGGGGGAGATTCCAAGTCGCCGAAGGACAGCCCATGACGACCCCAAGGAGCCCCCAGAACGTAAAGAACGGCCCAACACGCTCCCGCGCAGCCCGCAACACCCTTCCGACGGCTCTCCAGGCCTCCAGGAGGCCTCCAGAACCCCCAGGGGGTCCGGAAGATCCCACACCCCTAAGGGGCCCTGCTAACAAACCCGCGAGGCACAAACAATTACTCACTGCGTGGAGTTCCCCATATGTGCATCTCATGTTTTATGTCATGCAATAGCGAGCGGCTGTTCATGAGCGCTTGACTATAATAGCGCGTCCACGTGGGCGACAGGGCCGACGAAGACAAGTGAATCCTAATGCGAGTGAGTTGGTATGAGTCAGAGTGAGCTTTGAGTATGATTGAACATGAGCCTCCCATTCATTCCCCCTCCTCAAGCTGGCCGCGAACGGGCCCGTGCAAACACCCCTGGCAGCGCCCCGCCTGAGACATCCTCAAAATCTGCTCTGAAAGCCAAGGGTGTTGGCCATGAAAAAAGGCAAACCGCTTGAGACATCCCCACAAACTGGCCGCGAACGGGCCCGTGTTCTACCCCCTGGCGGCTCCCTTTAGGGGTGCTGAAACCAGCGCCCCGCCTGAGACATCCTCAAAACCTCCTCTGAAAACCAAGGATGTTGAGCATGAAAACGAGCAAACCGCTTGAGACATCCCAACAAAATGGCCGCGAAAGGGCCCGTGCAAACACCCCTGGCGGCTCCCCTTAGAGGTGCTGAAACCAGCGCCCCGCCTCAGACATCCTCACAATCTGCTCTGAAAGCAGAAGATGTTGAGCATGAAAACAAGCAAACCGCTTGAGACATCCCCACAACATGGCCGCGAGCGAGCCAGTGCAAACACCCCTGGCGGCTCCCCGTAGGGGTGCTGAAACCAGCGCCCCGCCTCAGACATCCTCACAATCTGCTCTCCAAGAGAAGGATGTTGAGCATGAAAAATGGCAAACCGCTTGAGACATCCCCACAAAATGGCCGCGAACGGGCCCGTGCAAACACCCCTGGCGGCTCCCCTTAGGGGTGCTGGAACCAGCGCCCCGCCTGAGACATCCTCCAAATATGATGTGTGTTGAGTAAATCAGACTAAGAGAAGGTCTGAGTATGCGTAGGTCTGAGTCTGAGTAGGTATGTGTATGAGTACGTCTGGGTATGAGTAAGTCTGAGTATGAGTAAGTCTGTGTATGGGAAAGTCTGTGTATGAGTAAGTCTGGGTATGAGTAAGTCTGAGTATGAGTGAGTCCGAGTAGGAGGAGACGAGAAGAGGAGGGGACAAGAAGAAGAAGGAGGGGGAGGAGTAGGAGGCGTCCAAGTAATAACAAGAACCCCATCTTAGGATAGCGAGACTGAGTATGAATAAATCTGAGTATGACTTGGTCTGAGTATAAATTCCCTACCTGGGCTCTGCCTAGAAGGGTTCTTACTCTCTGGGCTTGCAGGGACCGGGCAGTGGAAAGCGCCCCGGGCGGTTCCCCCACTATCCGCCCCGCGGTTCCCCCAGTTACGTCCCCTTAGTTTAGCGTTGCGTATCTCATCTTAGCTTAGCTTATTTCATCTTAGCTTAGCTTAACTTAGCTTCATATTAACTCAGGTTTATCTTAGCTTAGCTTACCTTCATCTTACCTTCGCTGAGCTTTAGCAGAGCAGGGTACAGCATATAATAGCATAGCGTAGCATAGCATAGCGCAGCACAGCATATCATAGCGTAGCCCAGCATAGCATAACATAACACAGCACAGCACAGCATAACATAGCACAGCACAGCATAGCATAGCACAGCGCAGCATAGCATAGCATAGCAGAGCCGAGCATACCACAGCGCAACTTAGCATATCATATCATACTATAACATAGCTTAGCATAGCACAGCGCAGCATTACATAGCTTAGCATAGCATATCATAGCATAGCGCAGCATACCATAGCATAGCATAGCATAGCATAGCATAGCATAGCGCAGCATAGCATGGCATAGCATAGCATAGCATAGCACAGCGACGAATGCTGCTTTCCTAGGGGCTCCAACTTCTAGGTAGGGTCGCACTGGGGTAATGAATCGGATCATGAGAAAGTCTGAGTATGAGTGAGTCTGACTATGACTAGGTCTGAGTATAAATGAGTCTGAGTAAGAGTAAGTCTGTGCATGAGTAAGTTTGAGGAGGAAGAGGGGAAGGAGGAGGAGGAGTGAGGAGAGGAGAGGTTCTGGTTCTGGTTGGAGTCCGCGCCGTCCAAGTAATAACAATAACCCCACCCTAGGAAATGGGGAAAACCAGCGCCGAACAGCGCCGAGGATCTGTAAAAACGTGGAAATCCCACAATTCCTATTTTTTTCAAGTTTGGCCCCCAGTCCAGTCTTGCACAGCAGACCACAATTCAGACCCCCCTTCATCTCCCAAAAAAGAACCCAGGAAGCCTTAGAGGGCCCCAAATCGTTGAATACCTAAAGGAACTTAATGATTTCTGCGTTTCCGCGTTTCCCTTTCTATACGATTCCGAGGCTTGCGCAGGGCTTCCAAGGGAGTCCCTGGACGCAAGAAGCGACCAACATGAGATGACATGAGTTAGCCTATCAAGCCTAGCTAGAATTTGAGCGCGCGCGAAGCGCGCGGTGGTTCTAGTATGTACGTATGTATGTATGTATGCATGCATGCATGCATGTATGCATGCATGTATGTATTTATGTATGCATGTACGTATGTACGTATGTACGTATGTACGTATGTATGTACGCATGTATGTATGTATGTATGTATGTATGTATGTATGTATGCATGTATGTATGCATGTATGTATGTATGTATGTATGTATGTATGTATGTATGTATGCATGTATGTATGTATGTATGTATGTATGTATGTATGTATGTATAGACGTGTGCATGTATGCATGTGCGTAAGTCTATTTGTTTGTATGTATGTATGCATGCATGCATGCATGCGTGTATGTATATATAGATATATATATATACAACACTGGCTTCGGTAGGGGCCAGATTTTATCCATACCACTGCGTCTCAGGTTTCTAGGAATCGTGTTCTGAAAATCCGAGGCGCCGTGGATATTCACATAAATCTTGCCCGCAGCAAGCGTCGTTCCGCCCCCCTGCATCTCCTCTTTCTTCCCTTCCTTCCTGCAGAAGCAGGGGAGGATCTGGAACGAGGATGGGGGAAGTGATGATTCGGGTGATTTGGATGACGTGCACGAGGACGAAGATGACGATGAAGACGAGCAGGAGGAGGAGGAGGAGGAGGAGGAGGAGGAGGAGGAGGAGGGGGAGGAGGGGGAGGTGGAGTAGAAGGCGCAGGAGGGGGAGGGCGTCCAGGTGGTCCAGGGCTTGGCCTCCGCGTCTATGTTCGACCGGGTCGGGGAGCTCTACGAGCGCATGGGCCACCTGCCGAACGCCATGGAGGCGTACCGCAGGGGGCATGCGTACAGGCAGGCCATCGAATTGGCCAAGCAGGCCGACCACCGTCTCCCCACAAGGCAGGAAGATCAGGAGAAGGATGACAAAACGAAGAGGTCGTCTCCCTGAGGAGAAGGAAAAGGATGATGATGACGATGCTGATGCTGAAGCTGCTGCTGGTGATGATCATGGTGATGGTGATGGTGATGGTGATGATGGTGATGGTGATGATGATACTGATGCTGATGTTGTTGATACCGATGCTGACGATGACAACGACAACGATGACTATGATGACGATGACGATAATGATGACGGTGATGATAATGATGATGCTGATGATGATGATGTTGATGATGAATGTGATGATGATGACGATGATGCTGATGCTGATGCTGATGAAGATGATGATTGAGGATGCTGAGGATTGTGATGACGGTGACCATGATGATCATGATGATGTTGTCGTTGATGGTGATGCTGATGATTAGGATGCTGATAATGATGTTGATGACGCTCATGCTGATGACGATGCTGATGATGCTGGTGATGATCATGATGTCGACTATGCTGATGCTGATGATACTGATGATGATGGTGATGCTGACGACTGGAGATTGTGATGGTGATGACGCTGATGATGCTGATGAGGCTGATGATGATGTTGATGCTGCTGATGATGATGATGATGATGATGATGATGATGCTGATGCTGCTGCTGATGATGATGATGATGATGATGGTGGTGATGATGATGATTATTTCGATGAGGAGGAGGAGGAGGGAGGACAGGATGAATAGCAGTATGGAGGAGGACCAGCAGCAGCACCATAAACAGGAACGGGGGCCAGAGCGGTAGCAGGAACAAGCGCAGATACGGGGATGAAAGCTTGCCGCTTTGGCTCTGGCATCCGTTGCTGCTTCTGTCCCTCCTCGTCGTTCTCCTCGTCGTCGTCCTCCTCCTACCCCTTCCTCTTGCCTCCGTTGTGATGCCGCCATCGGGGGTCCAACATGAGTTGGCATCGGGTCAGGATCTGCAGCGTTTTCGGTGCATTGCATGCTGGGCCTCCAACAACTTCAGGTTCGAGCTTTATAAAGCTCCGTGTCCGGCCGCGAACGGGTTCGGCCAGATAGTTTTGCGTATTGGTAGGTTTGTGTTCTGCAAGCGATGGGGGTCTCACTCGTTCACAAGTGTCGGCCACCTGCACAATGTATGTCGCTGGCGTCCAGACTCGACCATTGCCAAGTACAGACTCCGCAGGGTGATGCAAGGATTGGACCCCAAGGCAAATCGGTCCACAGGTTCAGTACTGCCAGTGCGAACGTGTCTGTATGACAAATTGGGGGACCCAGCGGCTGTTGGCTCTGATCTCGCGTTGGTCCCCCATTTCGTTCCCTGGCCTTTTGACTCTTTGTAGAGTCCCTGCCCTGTCGAAAAAGCAGGCGCATCTTGAGCCAAAATGGGGCTCCGATGAGATGCGGGCTAGTCTCCCAGCAAATCTGCGACACGCCGGCGTCCACCCAGCGTGGTCGGCTGTGCCTGGAGTTATCGGATGAATAATCCAGCAACTGATGGAATAAAGAAAAGAAAGTATTGTAATATGCAGATTACTTGTCTCCCCTCCTGTCCGTGTCGTAGGTGTAAAAACCGACGGGCTCCTAGTGGATCTGTCCCCTGCTCACCCTCTTATCGTGCCCTTCCCCCTCCTTTTCCCCTCTCGCCTTCTGATGGTGGCTCGGCTCGAGCCGGCTTGAGAGCATTTTGGCATACGGACGCGTGTGCCGAGGGACAGAACAGGGCCTCCTCGCTCTTGAGCCCTGGCGGGCTCCGCCGCCGGACCCAGCTGCGGTTCCGGAGGAGCGAAGGCCCAAAACTTCCCGGTTCCACAGTGGTAGCGGAGCGTGTGGTGGCGCGCCAGCTGTGCGGCAGCAGCAGCGAGGTTCTACCTGAAGGAATGCAGAAACAGGGAAATCTTCTTGACAAGAAGGACGTGTACACGGACGACGACGACGACGGGAACGATGCGGCATGCGTCGTCACCAGGGCTACATCCGGCGATGTGCGCAGGCGTGCTCAGCCCGGACGCTCTTCCTCCGAGGCGAAGCGGAGGTGGGGGATCATCATGGCATGTGCGATCTTCGACGAGTTGAGTCCAGGCGCCGCAATGGACATGCCGCGACTTGGAAGAGATCCCGACGTGGGGCGGATCCCCAGGGCGATGGCGAAGTTACAAGAAGGACGTGGCGGTGTGGACCAAAGGGATCAACCTGGACGTGCGCTGGTCGTGGTCAGCTCGCATGGCGAGGTGCCTGACAGGCCCGGCGAAGACGCTGGGCGAGTCCATCCCGATGGTGGAGCTGCGCGCGAAACCGTGGACGTGGGTGCCAGACGAGAGGCCGGACGTGGACGTCGCCGCAGAGGCGGCCCAGGAGGACGGCGAGACTTTTGAGGGGGCGTGCGGTCAGTGGGAGGAGCATGACATGATGGCGGGCATCAATCGTTTGATGGAGGTGCTTGCGACGATGGGCGTGGACGAACCGGCCAGACGAGGCCAGGTGATTAACTATACGGCACGGCGACCTAACATGTTCGACCGCAGGATGCCGATCACCTTCAACCGACCTGGGGCGCAGCTGCTCAAGAAGAAGGCGATATGACAGTTTAAGGAAGCCAGCGTGACGGAGGACCTGAGCGGGCTCAGCCAGCGCGACGACGGCGAGCTCGAGGTACTGAATGCGGAGCTTGGCAGCTTCGACGGCGACGCCGGCGACGAGAAGACGGAGGAGGCTCTCGCAGCTGAGCAAGACCACGACATCGAGGGCATCCTCGCCGCGGAGCTGGAGACGCTCTCGACGGCGCTCGAGGAGTCCGGAAACGACTCCGCACTGGCGCAGGAGCTCGGGAACTTAGAGAGCGGCGTGGAATCGATGATGGAGGGCCTTATCACCGTGCGCGAGAGCAAGAAGCGAGTGAAGGAGTCGCGGAAGGATCGCAAGTTTGGACAGCGGGCGGGGGGGGGCGGGGGGCAGATCGCGGTGTCAGCTCGAAAGCGCGTTCCGCGCGAAGCCGGGCAACCTTGTCGAGGTTATCCTGGGAGACGCGCTGAGGTCCCACGTCTCGTTTGATAACCATCCGCCCCTCCCCCCCCCCCTCCCGCTCGTCCTCCTTCCCCATCCCGCTCTTCATCATGGCCGTCGTCATTCAATTCCTCCTCCCCCCCCTGTCCCCAGTTCCCCCCGCCCGCTTCGGGGGCGAGGGTGGGCGCGCGGGCAGAGGGGAAAATCGGCATCGCCCTGCGTGGGCGCCTCTCCGAACCGCGCGAGCGACTCCGCATTGAGCTTCGCCGGCGACTTGGCGCGCCCCAGCATCTCCGCCGACGGTGCCTGGTCGCCGGGGCCGCTCGGGCCTCCCTTCTCTGGGGCTCCGCGCGAGGAGGGCGGGGGCCCGGCGACTGCGCGGCAAGGGGCCTGGCGCCGAAATGGCTGCGGAAAAAGGCCCGCCGCGCAAGGCGAGCTTCTTGGAGGGAACGCGCGGGCCCTCGGGGAGCCTGGCGGGGGCGGGCCCGCCAGGCTGCTGGAGGGCCCGCGTGGGCCCTCCAGGAGCCCCCCCAAGGCGAGACAAATCCTCTGGTCCGGAGTCGGAGGAAAACTTGCATGTCTGAAATGATCCAAACAGAGAAGACTGGCCTCTTGGAGCCGTCTCGGGGCCCTCGGGGGCCCTTCCCCGTGCCCTCCCGGGGCCCTCTCGGCGCCCTCTTGGAGCCAACTTGGGGCCCTCTTGCCTTGAAGTAGCCTCTAGCTATTTAGGTAATTTGTTAAATTAGCTTCGAGCTGATTAGTTAACTAGCTAAATTAGCTTCGAGCTACTTCGAGCTAGTAGAGGCGAATAAGAGCTTATAAGAGCTAATTCGCTAAATTAGCTGAATTTGTTCTCCGTAGCTTTTATTCCTCATTAGCTTCTGTTAGCTCGCATTAGCTCGAAGCAAATTGAGCGGCGCGCGGGCCTGGGGCATCGGCAGAGGGGCCGAAACGCGGCCCGAACTCCGGGGATTTCTCGCCAGCTGCCTTGCGTGCGCGGCCGAAGCTCGGGGGGGAAATCCTGCCCCCCCCCCCCCCCCTGGCGGGGCAGCCGAGGGCGGCCCCCTGAGCGCTCGCGGCGAGGGGGGGCGGCTACCTTGACACGCTGAGTAGGCTCTGCAACTCGAGCTGATTTCTCTAAGTAGGCTCGCGATCACAGGGCTGGGCGCGGCACCATGCAAGGTAATCTTGCTGTCGGGCCACGTCCTGTCGCCCCTGGGCGTGAAGTACTGCGCGTGCCAGATGATGCGTGTTCCCGCGCGGTGCGCGCGCATGGGCATCATCTCCCTCTGGGGCGGCCTCCTCGCCGGGAGCCTGGTCTCCGCCGTCGGGGGGGTCGGGGGCGCCCTCGGCGCCGTCGGCCCCCCCCCGCCGCCGCCCAGCTCAGGGTCCACCGCGGACACCACGGAAGGGCATCCGACTCTGAGGGCCCCCCCCCCCCCCCCAAGATCCCCGCGACTGCGAGCGCCTCGGGCGCGGCGATGGCCGTCGGCAACGCGCTCCTCTCCATCGGACTCTCTGGCCTCGCGCTCCCGAGGCGGGCGCGCGGGCACGGGGGCGGGCTTCGCCTTTGCGATTTCAGGGGAACTGCCCGAGGAGTGGCCGACATCACCTGCGTAATCAAAGCGCCGACTTCCAGAGCCGACTCGCCGGGCCTGGGCGCAGCCAGGGGCGCCGCTGATTCGTGCTAGTCATCAGCCCCCCTCCGCCCTCGCCCCGCCCCCGTCAGGGCGCAAGTGCACCGCCAGGCCGCGCTGGCGCGTTTCGAAGGGTCCGCGCCCGAAATGCACGATGAGGATGCACGGGTGCCCATGGAAAATGCCCATCCAGACTTTGGATCCGCATTGCAACCGCCCAGGGGTCGCGGAAGTGCCGGCGCAGATCCCGGTGTCCCGATTCCACGGGCAATCCAACCCGCGAGCAGCGAAGCACGGAGACGCTCAAAACGACAAGCTGTGGGCAGATGGCGGCGGCGACGC